TTTAAAGGTGGGGTAAGCGATTTCTGGTAGCCAATGTTGACATTTGAAATCACCAAAACAAACACGCCCCTACCCCAAAAGGGTCTCGCCCCTATTTTGATAGTTCTGCCCCACACATACGTACGCAACCCAGGCAACGATTAGTTCTGTGAAACAAAGCAAAACCAATGTTACACCGTGTCTACTATAGAACTCATTATAATCAGTGATGCTGTCTACACCATAGATATATATATATATATATATACATATCTATGGTCTACACTGGATGCGGCATGACACGACAAATCCCTGACAGAAAACTGCTGCTCTGTTCTATTTATGACGTATTGACACAAATTTCAAATAATTTTAAATGGTCGCTTTGTTGCGTCCAGTGTACTAGACAGACTTTAGCAGTTGCGGCACAGACATGGTGTTACTCACCTATCGAGAAGAAACAAAGCAACCTCGGCGTCCGATCGCGGACCTTCCGCTCCTTGAGTTCTCTCCAGCGCTGGAAAGCTGATCCGATATTTACACGGTCCTACTTCTTGCCTTATTGCCTTAAGCCTTCTTTTGTTCCGCAGACGTTTTCCTTTTTTGTTATTTATCCGTCATCTTTCTGTCGCTCGGCTCGCTAATGTCTGTCATGTGCACTGAACGTTTTCTCCTCCACATCATGAGTAGACACGCCCCTTACTGCTGATTGGCTACAAGTTTGTTTTGCGAATCGGCCCGAATCAGTTTTCTAAAGCGTTTTTGAAAAATCGCTTACCCCACCTTTAATTGTAAAGAAGGTTTCCTTTGGGTTTCTCAGAAATTAAGTCATACAGGTTTGGGATGACATAAGGGTGAGAAGATATTTTGAAGATGTTTCAACTGTTTTGTCAATGGGGTCCAAAACAACAACACTGGAACAACATGAGAGCAACACTGACTTTAATTGTAAGGACGAAAGGTTTCTTTTAGGTTTCTCAGAAAGTACATCATACAGGTTTCGAACAACGTGTGGGTGAGTAAATAACAGGCACTTTTCACATATCTGGGGCTCTGAGAAGAAGAGGTCATCACAGCTGTGTAAACTTCTATAGTGGTGAACAGAAACTACAACGCAATGTTCAAACAAAAATCCACAATAGTGTTTCTTTGACTTTCAAAAGGAGGAAAAAAATATTGAGAAATGATGTTGGTCCCTCAGCTGTTGGATTAGAAATATTTGCTACAGCAGTGTTAACCAGTTTTCTGTAATTGAATGCCTATCTAATAAAATACAAAGTATGTGAGTTAAATGTTACGTATAAAAACTTGATAGATTTACAATGCTAATAACTGTGGAAACACGTCACACATCATAATCTGTGAAAAGGTTTCATGATCAAATACACATTTTCTGAATGAATTTATTCCTTAAAGACATTCCGCCATATTACACAGGCTGCACTTTTATTCCACACGGTCATGTCATTGTTCAAATCAAATAAAAAATGGCATCTACTCCAACTCAGAAGGTCTGTGACAGCACACACTCACACACAATGCGTGCACCTGTTCGTAACAATGGGAAGGCACCGCAACAACCAGCTGTTCAGTCAACAACACTTGAAAACCGTACGAGCACCGACGGAGAGCAAAAGAGCGTGGTACTTGGTACCATAACAGGCGCCAGATCCTTCTTTCATCCAGCATCATTAC